ACCTTCAGATTTACGTCTTTTGTGTGTTATAAACCTTCAGATTTACGTCTTTTGTGTGTTATAACCCTTCATACTTACTACTGAGCCACTGTTGAATGTATTCATTTTGTGTTTGTTTATTATAATTTCCATGTAAAGCTACACAAGGGTTATCTGAACATACCTATCCCTTCTTTTGTGTGTTATAACCCTTCATACTTACTACTGAGCCACTGTTGAATGTATTCATTTTGTGTTTGTTTATTATAATTTCCATGCAAAGCTACACAAGGGTTATCTGAACATACCTATCCCTTCTTTTGAACTGATAGACTAGAGAGAAGGCAGCTAGTTAGAAACACCCACCGCCAGCAGCTAGACGACTCTTCTCTGACCAAATGGTGGGATTTGGCCGTCACTCTCTTAGAATACTCAAGATTCCAAAGTCCAGAGCGTGTATTTTGGGCCAAAGGGACGTAAACCACAAACCCTCGGATTCATAATCCGGGTTAATCAGTAAGCCATGTTCGTCCTACATTACTTTATACACCATTAGTCTGTGAAACAATACGCTTTGTAAACATCATAGTGAGCATTTTTACTCCTAGCTTAGCCAAAATATTTTTGTAAAGAAATAGGTTTTACCATGATGTGGCTTTTCTAAATCAGTGCTAATCAAGGAGGGTAATCCCATTATCTTATAAAGCCAGGAGTGTCTTATATCCCATTTTGGTGCAAGGATAACCCTGATGTAACGTGATATAGACGGTATATTTTCTATAGCTAGGCCTACTAGTCATATTAAAAAAGACTGTGACTTACGTTAGAGTTTGCACTGATTGAACAAGTCACAGAAACGGTAGGGTTACAGTGTTACGTGACTTTCGGAGACGTTAAGACACGAAGCTAATATAAAATTTTCGAATTCATTGTTAATAAGTGTATTTTTTGTCGACTATCTCAACGACTATGGAAAACAATTTTGAGCTTTGTTTGTTTGTTTTGTTTTTTGAATTTCGCGCAAAGCTACACGAGGGCTATCTGCGCTAGCCGTCCCTAATTTAGCAGTGGAAGACTAGAGAGAAGGCAACTAGTCATCACCACCCACCGCCAACTCTTGGGCTACTCTTTTACCATCGATCGTCACATTATATCACCCCCACGGCTTAAAGGGCGAGCATGTTTGGTGTGACGGGGATTCGAACCCGCGACCCTCAGATTGCGAGTCGAGGGCCCTAACCAGCTGGCCATGCCGTAATTAGTAGGATTATTTCAAGTATTTATGGTTTGTTTGTTTGTATTATTTTGTGTGACTCGTATATTATCATGAACCCTGTAACGAACAATGTTATGAATCCATAAACAATTTGGTGTACAGGAAGTTTAAAAAAAAAGCGTTTTAAACGTAGTCTTTAGGTTCAAATAAGCTTTAAAAATTGCAACAAATTTTACATTTCGTCTATTTTATATTTGGCCCTCCAGTGGTACAGTGGTACAGCGGTACGTCTGCGGAGTTACAAAGCTAGAATCCGGGTTTCGATACCCGTGGCGGGCAGAGCACAGATAGCCCATTGTGTAGCTTTGTGGTTAATTACAAACAAACATTTTATATTTGAACATTTCTATGAATAAGTTATCACTCACGTAAGTGTAAAACTAGACCAGCTTGTTCATATTTTTCCATTGGCTATTTTTTTTTTGTTAGTGCTTAAAACAACAGGAGCGATTGTAACCACAATACAGTTTTGTATTTTGGCTTTGAATATCCATCATTTCGTAAATAAATGTTTTATTCATACAGGAGTAGCAAACATTTGAAAATTTGTTGCTGTAATTCTTGTATTTATTGCTTATGAATGCAAGTTTTTTTTTAAATGGTAGTAGAAATGACACAAAACAACATTGTAATGAACCACACAAGTCCCAATCGATTTATCAAAACAGAGCTGTTTCAGTCAGCATGCCAAGCTGTACTTAACGTTTCCCACCAGGGCAATGGCATGACGTCACAGTGAATGGCGGCGCGTGTGTCGTGTGCTGTAGCCCGGCAACCGTTGCATGAAGAAACAATCCAAGTGGTTTCCCGCGACATCTATCTCTCTCTCTCTCTCTCTCCGGACTACGCCACTAGGGCCAGTTCGGCAGTAGTCACATAAGAGTTATCACACTGGATGGTGTAGTGAGTTCCGTCCGAACTGGCGTCAAATTTCTTACCAAAATTTCACGCCTGCAATTTTGCGATAAGTGGGGGTTATCCCCCGTGCTGCGGCCGCGGCAGACCGACTTGGGCTACCGTCGGCCGTCGGCTAGCAAATCAGAAATGAGTAGTCAGGATGCAGGTAACGGCAGTTTATTTCATTTCTCTTCCAAATATTCTCGTTCTATTCCGTCCTCTTCCAGGTCCCTACCGAAGCTTTCTGGGGAGGAGCACTGCGGTGACGGAGAAGGCCTGTTGGGACATCAACGGTTATGTCAGCTCAACTGTAATGGTAACTTCGAGCCTATTCTTCACGATCACGACTACTGCGAGCGGGTCGTGATTAACGTCAGTGGCCTGCGTTTCGAGACCCAGCTACGGACACTGAACCAGTTTCCGGACACGCTGTTAGGTGACCCAACTCGCCGTATTCGTTATTTCGATCCACTCCGGAACGAGTACTTTTTCGACCGGAATCGGCCAAGTTTTGACGCCATTCTGTACTACTACCAAAGCGGCGGAAGGCTTCGGCGACCTGTTAGCGTCCCGCTAGATATTTTTGCAGAAGAAATTAAATTCTATGAACTGGGCGAGGGGGCGTTCAATAAGTTCCGGGAAGACGAAGGATTCATCAAAGAAGAAGAGAAGCCGCTTCCATCTCGCAAACTCCAGCAGAAGATGTGGCTTCTGTTCGAATACCCAGAGAGCTCACAGGGCGCACGTGTCATCGCAATCATATCCGTCGTCGTCATCCTCCTGTCCATCGTCATATTTTGTTTAGAGACTTTGCCAAACTTCAAACATTACAAGATCTTTAACTCGACCAATGGAGTGCTGAGGGTCGTTGAGGACGAAGTAACAAAACTGACCGATCCCTTCTTTCTCATAGAAACCTGTTGTATAGTGTGGTTCACCTTCGAATTATTGGTGCGATTCCTGACCTGCCCCAATAAACTGGCTTTCTTCAAGGACGTAATGAACTTTATTGACCTTGTAGCCATCATTCCCTACTTCATTACCCTGGGGACAGTGGTGGCCGGAGAAAACCACCGGTCTCCTGCGTCGGGCAACGAGAGGGCCAGTAACAATCAAGCCATGTCGTTGGCTATCTTAAGGGTCATCCGTTTGGTGCGAGTCTTCAGAATTTTTAAGCTCTCCAGGCACTCCAAAGGCCTGCAGATTCTGGGCCGGACACTAAAAGCCAGTATGAGAGAACTGGGTTTACTCATATTCTTCCTCTTCATTGGTGTGATCCTATTCTCCAGCACCGTTTACTATGCCGAGGCCGATTCGGAGAGGTCCTACTTCAAATCCATCCCAGACGCCTTCTGGTGGGCCGTTGTAACCATGACAACTGTGGGTTACGGAGACATGAGGCCCGTGGGAGTGTGGGGTAAGATTGTGGGCTCCTTATGTGCTATCGCAGGCGTGCTGACTATAGCGCTTCCAGTTCCCGTGATCGTATCTAACTTCAATTACTTCTACCACCGAGAAACTGACCAAGAGGAAATGCAATCACAGAATTTTAATCACGTGACAGCCTGTCCTTACCTACCAGGAACGGTGGGGCTCAAACCCCGGCAAGAATCTCTTAGTGAATCCGATTCGGACATCGTAGAGCTTGAAGAAGGGCTACTGATCACGAGTGACCATTTGGACAAAAAGCCCAACTACAAGCCCCAGCCAATCAACAATATTGGTATCGTCGCTATAGAAACAGATGTATGACAGCGTCAGAGGATGGATAAGTGTAGGTTATATCGTATCCTTTAGGTATTTCTACTTCCTGCTAAGAAAATAAATCTCCAAGAACAACAAAAAAAAAGGTAAGTTTTTATACCTACCTCTTTTTCCGCCAAACTCTGTAACTTGTCCGTCGCTTCCAGGAGAAGGTGAGTCATTATAGGATAGTTATTTGATTCAAAGAAAAGTTAGTAAATATTCTGATATTTGATCCTTTAAGTTAGTGTTTTAAGGCCGAAGAAACAAAGTTATTATCATTATGTTTGCGACACCTACTATAGAAATATAATATTATGATAATTTAAGCCCTGAAAAAAATAGGCCTACAAAAATGTCTTATTAAATAACTTTCACTTCCTATCTGGTATTTATGGCATAAACGAACTATATTTACAGACTGTATATTGTACATTTCTAGTGAATACCATTTCATTTAAGAGTCTTTTATGAAATATATATCTTCACCAATCTCTGGAATTTTTACCAGACGAAGTGTTCATATATTGAATTATTGTAATAACGTATAAATAGCGTAATGAGTTAATACCAGAAATAAAACTGTAGTTTATGAAAAGCTTCTAAATCTATTTGTAAACTATAATTATGTTCTAGTGGAATAATAACACAAATATAAAATGAACGGTTTGTAAGATAGTGTTGACTATATAATATAATACGTTACTCCACATTGTTGACTATATAATATAATACGTTTCTCCACATTGTTGACTATATAATATAATACGTTTCTCAACATTGTTTACTATATAATATAATACGTTTCTCCACATTGTTTACTATATAATATAATACGTTTCTCCACATTGTTTACTATATAATATAATACGTTTCTCCACATTGTTTA